CACCATCCTGGTATGTAGCCAAGGGAGAAAAGGATGGAGGTTGAGACATTGACAGGCTGCTTGTGCTCCTGCTAAGGTAGCTCCTAACTTGTGATTTAGTAATGAAATAATGATGTGCAATAATTTAGAATGGTCTCTCTGTCTTCTAGTCATAAATCTCCTTTGCTAGGAAGAAGAGGCACCATGTCTTGCTTTCTCCTTGCTGGATGCTGTCCATGTTTAGGTGGCTTTGCATACAGCAGGCAATTCATGCTGCAAATGCACAACTCTTCCAGTATCCATCTGCCATCCTTTTCATCTGTGCCAGTAGCAACTCCATATAAATCCTGCAGTGCTTATGGTCACAGGAAGCATCTCTTGGATAAAGGATAGACAAAGCTTCTGGCAAACATGCCAAATTGTTTTTTTAATTTAATAGGTGAGCCTCAGGTTTTTCTTCCTGTAATGTTCTGCTACAAGGAGACTTCTTTTATTGTGGAAAGGATGTATACACATTTTTAACCGTGTTGCTGAGTTAACCACTCAGGAGAAATGCTGGAGAATTCCAGGACTCTCCTGGTACCACTGGAGAGGAGTTGTTACATCGTAGCCTTTTTAAATGCAGGTGGCAAGTACAAATTTTCTTTTGCGATTTTTTAAGCTGCTTTAAAAAGCAAAACAGGATGCACAGATTCAAGCTCGCACCAGGTATAAAAGCAGCTTTTATACCTGCTGAATTGTGACACGAGACAAGTGTCTCATGTACTAACAACAAAGCCCTCTTTTTTTTTTTAAAGTGACTAAATAATCCAATACTTTTGAAGTTCTGAACACTGCAGAAGAATTATGGCACTTATTTAAGGGTTTGACTATGTAATTAAGCATCTAATTTTAAACCTGCACGCTCAATAATGTTGGATTTTGCTACCAAGTTACTTCCTTTTTATGGTGTCTGCCAACTGCTGAAGTGTGCATTAGTGCATTGACATATTAATGCATTTTAGTAATGGAGGTACCTGATCAAGCAGCAGCCAAATGAACACAAAATAAATGTCTGAGTTCACATCAGAACCTGCCATAAACAACAGAAAACTGCTTGCCTTTATCTTGCACTGACATTCCTATTCCCATCTGACCTGAAAAACTGGACCCAGTTGGTGGAACCCTTAGAGACTGAGGACCCAGCATCCCCCCTCATCCATTACCACATGCATTATTTTCTTGGGCCTTCTTGGTGCCTTTCCCTCCCTCTTTCTTGGGCTCATTTTTTTCCAGAATAGTAGTATGTTCCTGTAATTCTAATTAAGCATATTTCATTTATGACTTGCTCATAAATTAAAACCAAATACTTAGCTATTACTAATACACTGTAGCCTACCCGGTCATAATGAGATCCAGGCCTTCCCCAGTGCCTGGGTGGAGCTTTCTCCCTTGTCTGAGAGCTGACCTGGAGCAGTCGAGGTGGCTGTGCACTGTCTGTGCTTGCTGAATTACTGCAGGCACTCCCCAGCTGTTGCTGATGTTGGCTTTCCAGTGTTTCTTGCCTATCACTCACTTGCCGGGTTCTGCACGCTGCATGCTCATTGAGATGACATTTGAATACAGTCCACTTTTTCCCAGTGGGGAGTTGTGATACCAAGGCAGTAGGAGAAGTGGCATTCTCAGCTCCAGCAGATACAGCAGTGTCACCCAGTTTGTACTGATCTGTTGAACAGCAAACCTGTCATGTAAGGGACAGTCAGAAAATTACGAGGCAGGCATTTAACACCGCAGAAGCAGTCTCGGTATTTAGCATGCTGAGAATACCAGCTAATCACGGAAGGCTTGTCTAGATGTCTGGATTCCTTTGGCTCCTAAGGTATTTTGTAGATGCCGATGGCCAGTGTGAACTTTAAATCAATTTATTGCATATGTTTACATATGCAGCGAAACCATTTGCCATATCATTTAACTACACGGAGTGAATTGTTGACCATGAGCTGATCTGACCTTTTCAGGTCTAATCAAGAAGTCTGAAATATTATTTTAGCCTGTCAGCTCCAGTGATATGCTGTAAGAGTATCTGGATCTAACTGAAAATGTCAAATGTGCTCTAATGTGCAACCCATCAAAGTTACGATGCAGGAACCAGTTAAGAATATAAATCTGTAACATCTGTGGTGCATCTCAATTGCCTGGGTGAGTTGTTCTGCCATCGATACAAGCTAGCTAAAAACGTGGATTAAAAGCAATTCTTTGGAATACACGTGAGGTGTACAGCCACCTAAATATTAAAATGATCTTGAAAGAGGGGTGATAACTCCAGGTTAGAGTACTATTGGAAAAAACAGGGCCCAGCATGAATACTCGTGCTCTAGGGGATGTCTTGCTAGCTTTAGTGTGTGGTTACATAAGATTAGTGGTCTCGTGTAACCTCACAATTTTCCTTTTTAATTTTAATAATTTGCCACTTATGAAGATTTTGCTCTTTTGAATGATAATCCATTATATAAGCTGAGGTATCCTTATCAATCTTATTGCATTTAGTAGTAAAAATTTTTCATAGTCCTGTGCATTTCATGAAAAATCTACTTCTATATTTAAAAGTGTGCTAAAAATCAACACTTACAAGCAGAATATTTAATTATTAATTTTTAAAATTTTTTCCTTCACCGTCAAAATTTCTGTTCTTGGTATTTTATAAGATACTCAGATCTAGGGTAAATCTGCCTTCAATAATTATTTATCAAGCACAAGATCAGTTGTTTATTGGTATAATTTCTGGATGATGAATTTAACACATAAATTAAGGGTATGGATGTAATGAAAAACAACTTTGTATCCTATGAAAATGGTATTTCTTAAGCTAAACAGTCTGTCAAAATTGTTTAGACTTAAAACACGTGTTACAGTAAAATTGAGTTGCTTTTTATCTGATTGTGGGTAGTTCTTGCAATATGAGGTGCTATTAACTGAATTGCTACTATAAGTAAAACGTTGGAAGTAGAATTAAAATGAACGATGGGAAGCATTGCTGAACTGATAACTTTGCATTGAAGATAGTGTGTTTTAAAGGCTCCACTTAACGCTGTTTGAACTGTTCTTACTAGGCAATGCTGCCCTCCCCTGGTATGCTGCGAAAAGCAGGAATTTTTATTCCAGTTCTAGAGCTTCCTGTTGAAGAGAAATTCGTGTATTGGTGAAAACGATAGGGTGAAAATGCTCTTAAACAGACCATTATATGCTTTCTCTCTTAAGAGAGAATGCAAACTCCAAACAAACCATGAAACAGACATTTGTGCTTTTATGTATGCATGATGCAGATGTAGATGAATGTACAAATAATATACATCTAATCTGCTGTCAATACATGGTAGAGGGCTGAATGAAGTTTGTGTGGCAATTTGGAGGATGAATTGAAGACAAATTAACAGATACAAGGTGGTCAGAGGACCAATTACAAGAAACTTTTCTATAACAGTATAGAATACAAACATTCATGTTTGTAAACATGAATGATAAATCTCTAAACATTATATATATGTTATACATATATATATATATATAACATTATTATATTATATTATATATTCAATTCTGCAATAGAGGAGTAAATGTGACCATGGCCAGCAGCTTGCATGGGAATAGGATTGGCTCTTGTGCAAATGAAGCTGTAGCAAAACCATCATCTGCTGTCAGGGTCTGTTGATTACAAAGATATCACCACCAGCTCAGGAAGTCCCTTCACTGCACAGTCCTGAGAGCTGAGGAAGGTAGTCCAAGGAAATATTACTGCTGCGTGGTCTGTTCTTTAAAGTGTTTCCTCAGGTGTCTGGTACTAACTGCTGCTGGAGATAGAATATTGGGGTACAAGGTTCTTTAGGCTGTCCAGCTGTGGCTCTTATGTGTTAAATGTGTTGCTATTTGCTTTAATTTGGTAATCCTTCCATTTCTCACTGCTAGGCAATTTCACCATAGCCCAGATAGCAGAAAAAGCTAAGCCTTCTTCCAAATACAGGAATTTTAGTTCCCACATCTGAGTCTAATAAAGTGTGTGGCGTGAGCTTTGCTTTTTGTTTGTTTTTAAGGTATAAAATGTCACTTCCTTTTTATGGTTAAGATTTTTGTAATTGCTGGACAACTTGCAAAACACACAACTTTTTTTTTCCTGTGGCGTATGACTTATGTTTTGCTTGCTCCTCACTCCTTTTAATGCATTGGAGATCTCCTAGCATTGGAGAAAACTAGAGAGAGAGTATGTGAAAACCTCTAGTTCACGTAGTTCTTCATGTCTTAGATCTGAACAGATTGCCACATCAGGAGGGAGGTTTTTCTCCCAGACTGGTTTGCTTGAGGACTTTGCTTGGTGTGAGTCCTTGTCTACTACTTAGGGTCAAGTCACTTGGGAAATGTTTTAAGAGCTGTGGAATATAATGACATTCCCAATCTGACTGGATCTTCTCCAGGTACAGTTTTATGTTGTTGTGGTGTTGATATTTTATTACAACCTTTTACAGCCTTTTTCCTTTAGTAAGGTCTAGGACTTGTTCTGAGTCTGTGGTGCCTGCTGATCCACGGAACAGGTGTGGGCCATTCTGAGCTCCACTCCAACTACTAAATGACCTGTGACTGTGGCAGATAGAACCTGAAGATCCCAGTGGTCTTTCACAGGCTGTTGTTTCTAAAGTGACATTGCTGGCAGGAAAACAGCAGCATTTGCCTTCATGCACATCAGCAAGAAAGCTAAAATAACCAATCCTTTTGGGAGCTAGCTGTAAAACCACTGCAAGTATGGGTCCAAAGTAGTTAAAGGTTGGGCTAAATCAACAGATAAGATGCCTTTCCCTTTGTGGCACCCTGCCACAGTAAGACCAATTTTTTATGTTCTTTTTTGTCAGATCAGTATTTTGCCAGTGCAGCATCCCCATTCAGCTCATCAAATTGTTCATGTGAACGGCAGTGGTGTCGCCCCTCGACCTCAAAGGAATGTATGAGGTCTAGAACTGTGTAACAGTTTTCTTTCTTCTCCATAACTTTTGCAGGTGTTGGGGCTGCTGGTGTGGACCCTGATCGCTGGAACAGAATACTTTCTCTATCCAGCCTTCGGCTGGGTGATGTTTGTAGCTGTGTTTTACTGGGTTCTCACCGTCTTCTTTCTGATCATCTACATGACAATGACCTACACCAGGATCCCGCAGGTGCCATGGACCATGGTGGTAAATATACCCATTCTTTGTTGTTCCAGGTTTGCTGGGTTTCGTAGAGAATAAAATATTGGTGCATTCTACATGTATATTTTACCAACTCTACTTGTACTCTTGGCAGATTTTTCCCTGATTACTGTGTGGCTGCATACCTGCAGTGTTTAACTTTCATACTACCCAGACACTTTCAAAGCACTTTTTCTACGCTCTTTCACCATTTTGTTCAGTCATTGATGTAGTGACTTGATTTTTAATGTGTGTGTGACTGATACTTATCAGTCAGATAAGTCAGATGCACAGTGACCTCTTTTTCTCTCTGTAGTGGTTATGTCCCATGAAGAATGAGTCTGTTGCTGCCTCTGAGGTAACAGACTTGGCCATATGGCTTAAACAGCAGAAATCCCTACTGGAACCAACACCATGTTTTAGAAGCAGGACTTGGTCTCTTGAAACATGAGTCTTCCTCTGCTAAAGTTAAAGCAAGGATAGTTCAGAGGTAGCAACACTCTGGCAATACATATGTAGTCTACTGTGAAAATGGTGCTGAAAAATTATATATATGTAAAATATGCACCATGTAGTCCTTTGCTTTGAGCTCAAGAGTTAAAGCAAATCAGATCAACAGCTACTGTAATTACAGAAAAATTTCACAGGCACTTAAAATGCAGATCCAGTTTTTATGGTTTGAGCAAACCTGGCCAGCTCTAACTCTCAACAGTGTATTTTTACCTCATTTGCATAACAGCCTGGTCTTCAGGATAGTAGATCCTAAAAGTCATTGTCATTTCAGCCAACTGGCTATTTGTGACCCATCTAAGAATCACTATAAATTTTATCTTTGCATTTGTTGGATACAGTAAGATACTGTTCTTTTTTTTTTTTTTTTTTTTTTTTTTTTAGCAGCTAAATATTATTGACTAGAATTCTGTTATTTCTGTGATGAAATGTATTTGACTTCTGGGTTGCTAACAGCCTGTTATCAGCTATATTGTGTATGTGACTAAAATTGAATACTAGAATACTCTTCTCTTTTAGTGTTCCCATTTGCTGCTGCAATAAATAGCCAGCTACAGCAATTACTAATAAGAACAACCAGGATTATGTTGAGATAGCTTCTCTATTTTTGAATTTCATAACCAGCAATTACCATTAAGGTTGTAACACTGCTATAGAAATGTTGGATTATTTCAATTACAGCAGTAATGTGTCTGGGTACGTTTAAAGGTGTGGGTTTTTTTTTCCCCGTTGCATTACATGTAAGTAAAGTACATTCAAAGGGAAAGCATCTTTATATCCATTTGAATAAAGCTTTGGTCATTACCCTTCTTTCATCAGTTGAATGCTATTATGAGGCAACTGCACATAAATGAGTTGCCCCTGATCTATGTGGTAGACAAAGTGGAATATTTGATTTGTTTCTGTTTCATATTGAGTATATTTCTTGCTCTGAGTTCCAAATATATTGTAGATGTGCATAGATGTAAGTCCAAAAGGTAGTCTCCTTTTATATAAAAGGGTCATACAAAGAGAAAATAAATACAAAACAAATAAAAGATGCTTGTGTCCCAGCTTGTTTTGCCCTAAGGTATTAAAAGAGCTTTTGGGAACAGCCCTTTGGGAACAAGTCGTCTGTTGCGCCTGTATGGCCAAGAGGAATGTTGAGTCTCTTTTCAGAGAGGTGCTTTTAAAGTTTTGTTGGAAAGAGCATGACACACATCTTTTGAGTGAGTTTACACCCACCTTTACCCCATTCTCTGAAGAATCCTGAATTTTAGTATCTGCCAGTTATTGCTCTGCTTCCTTAGGCGACAGTTAGCTCAAACTGTTCCTATTGTATGCAGTATCCAAAATTACTTCTGGACATCTCTGTCATAAATTCACTTTTTGCAGGTTAAGCACATTACCAAATTGCTTGAAATGCAGTTACTTTTACTGCAAATTAACCCAAAAGATGTGCTTCAAAACTGACTCTCCTTCATAGTGCAAGATTTTTGCTAAAACAATCAATGGAAGCTTTTAAAATCTGGTGAATTTGAATTTAAGAAGCAGATGGTAATTTAGCATGAACCATTTGGTTTGAGTAATATATTGGCAGCAAAGGCCCAATCAGCTTGCACTGCATTCCATCTTCCCCAACAGTGTTATTTCCCAGAGCAGCACTTTGCAGAAATTATGTGCTTTTCTCTTTTTTCTACATGACAAGATATTGCAGGAATTTGTAGCTTTCCAGGGTAATTGAGTCTTTTTGGAATGGGAAATCTGAAAATAACAACAAATACTCTAGGTAATCAAATTTGGGGTTTCTAAATCAGTGCTTTACAGAAGTTCACCAGGACCTGCCAATTGTTGACATCTCATCCTAAAACTGACAGTTTGATGTTTTATTGCTGTACTGCCCAGATAAAACAAGGAGAGAGATCTGTGGATAGACATAGTACCTTTTATTAGACAAACTGATATAGGTGAGGTGAACCCCCACTCATTTGTAAGTGTGTGAATCAAATCTCAAGTGCCAGTCTTTGGACTCTATCTAAGTGCTGAGGCACTGCCCAGCCCAGTTCCCTGTGGAAGGATAAATGGATATTTTCCACTGTTCCTTCTTAACTTCTCTTCTTGAGCTGCAGCTTTTTTTTAGATTTTGCCAAATCTGGTGAAAAGTTAATTAAATTGTGTGTAATTGGCATAAGTTCCTAGCATCCCCTGGGTCACATGCTGAGAATTAATAAGTTGGAGTTGCACGAGCTTGGCAACATTTAGGCAACTAGAGCAACAGAGTTAGAGGTTATATTTGTGTGACAGTCTGGAGTGCAAAACTGGGGTCAGAAGCTGAAGGGAGCTGATTCTGTACATGAGGACCAGGTCTATATAGAGTTACCCATTCCTGCAATTGTAACCAGATGCAAAGCGTATCAGAGGCATTCCACCTAAACATGGCACCAAATTTGTATGCCTTAGACAAGTAGCAGAGTGGAGTTTAAAAGGATTTAACTTTTCTTTTAATACGAAGAAACTTTTATGACCAAGTAGTGAAAAAGTAAAGGACAAAGTTTCATACATACATTTTTCTCTTTCATTTTCTTAGACATCTGTTCACTCTTTCTTTCCTGTTCTCTCTCACATGCAGAAACCAAACAAACTTTTTGTTTGCTCTCTGTAGGGTTATGTGAGGTCATTGTTATCTGCTTTGCTTCGTTTTTAGTCATAAACCCAAGTACCCTGAGACATTAACTTTGCCTCTTGAAAGAGAAAATGCAGCATCTGTCATGGGTCTTGATGACCCATGTAGTCCAGTCAGACTGTTTTCCTCCTTGGATTTGCCTGTTTCTTTCTCCTCTTAAAAACAGACAGAAGGGAAAGGTACTGAGAGATGGAAGCATACAACTGAGAAAAAAAGTCACCCTCTTTATCTCCTTCAGTAGTGTAGAAAACAAAGTTTTGGAAGCTTTATAAATACTCTCCATATGCCAGGAGTTATTAATTTCTATCTTTGTGTAGATTAGAAATGTAATCAAAGTGCAGTTTGGTCTTGTTTCTTTGTTTTGTTTTTTTATCATGTAGAGTCATATTCCTACTGCCTAACCCATAGATTGTGATAACCAAACTGAGTCCTTATTTTCACTTCTGGAAAATCACAGGGCGCCAACTTTAAGACTTTTCTGCATTTAGTGTGATGGAGAGAACAGTTTGTCCAAAATATGGTTCAATGTTTATGGATCCTCAAAGCAGTTAAATTTTAATCTTACAGACAGAAACATGGAAGAAGGCAAAAATAGTTAAGAATGACAATTCTGGTGTACACTCAGTGTATTTCAGAAGAGAATTTTATAATGTTGGAAAATTAATATCTGTGCATATTAATGACATGTTTGTCTTTTCAACAGGGTCTGTGTTTTAATGGAAGTGCCTTTGTTTTGTATCTCATTGCTGCCATTGTAGATGCATCTTCAGTTACCAAAGACCTGGACAACCACAATTACAACAGCTGGGCAGCTTCTTCAGTGAGTTCATTTTTTGTTTAAGTCAGTTCTACATCCAGTAAAGTTATAGCAAATGAAGACTCATTGGAAGTATGGATTGAAGTTGCAGGTGTTCTGCATTTTGAAAAGCTGCAGAAATGATCACATGCAAAACCTATAAGTAGCTGCAATTTAGTTCATAGTTTTTAGAGGTGACTGGAAATTCCACCAGGAGATGACAGTCACATCAGAAAAGGCAGTAATGTTTTTAAGATCACACTGATTTCCTCCTCCCTTGCCCTCATTTATTACCAGCCCTCTGGCTGAGGTCAGAGCCTGCACATCAGAACAGACAAAAAAGATTGTGTGAGCATCGAGTCACCTCAATGCACCTGGACATCTTCAAAAGCAGTTTAAACTAACTCAGCTGACTTTGCATACTTGTGCATAAGATGCATTCAGCTTTCTGTGGGCTGAGCTATTGTCCACACAGCACCTTGGTGAAAGCCCTGGAATGGTATTGCTATTTCCACAGTGATCTTCCTGTTACAGCTTCAACTTTTGATAATCTTTCCTTTGAGTTGCAAGGGCAACGTGTGAAAAATCATGTAACGTGATGAAATCACTAATTAGTCTGACACTACTGTCTTAGTGCTTAGATTTAGAAATCCAAAACAGTCAAAATGGATAAAAAATAACTTTAAAACAAAGCAAAAAAGGAACAGAAAAGAGCCTTGTCACTTTTTTAGTTAGGTGAACACATTCCCTGGCAAAGTTAAGGGAGTTGTAAAAGAACTTATTTCATGTTGTGGCAATAGGAGTCAAATTCAGTTGTATACCATAATTCCAAATTACTGAGTGATCATGCTTCTGCAGTTGTCCTCCTGACTATTCACAAATCCTGTCTGAAGCTTATTTTGTATGGTCATGAACACAGGAACTTGAACACCTGCTCTGTTTTTGTCCTGGGAATTGGATCATTAAATCCCTGTCATTTCAGTGGTGTTCAGGGTCTTCTCCTCTTGGCAGTTTGTAACTACAGATCTGTTACTCAGCCACTGCAGCTGACAGGAACTTGCTCGCTGCTAGATAAGCTTCCATGCTGATTCAGGTTTTATGCAAAATGCGTGACTGTTCAGTGTCTCAGGGGAGGTTTGGATTCCCTTCTAATACTTCCTAATAATGTTTATCTAACACAGTGTCTAAATAAACTATTAAATGTGGATTCTCGCTTTCAAAATCCATTAAGGGTTTTATGGACAGAGGATTTAGCAAATAATCTATCCCCGATAGTCATTCTGTTAGAAAGATTTTAGATGGAGCTTTTATTTAATAAGAAACAAAATAATTGGAAAAAGAAGAATGCTACAGTATTTTGTTGTAATAAGATTTTACATCATCATATACAGTTTTTTGGAGTAAGAGATGAAATTTGCATTAGTCAATGCTCACCAAGAGCCCTCTGTTGAAAGGCTTAGATTGCCTGGATGAATGCTCAGCAGTGCCTACCCATGCCAATGATGGCATATAAGCCAGGAACAACGTTAGAATCATAAAATATTTTTAGGCTGGAAGGGACTTCTTGGAAGTCATCTGGTCCAACTCTGTCCACTCCTACAGCAGGGCTAACTCATATCAGGCTACCAGGGTCTTGTCCACTTGAATTTGAGTATTTCCAAATATGGCCATTCCCCAATGCCTGTGTTCGATTACTCACACTGTGGGTTGGGGTTTTTTTCCTAATATCTAATTGAAATTTCCTGTCCTGTAACTTGTATTTAGTCCTTCTTGCCCTATTATTGCTCAACTCTTAGAAAAGTGGTGTTAATCTTATTTACAGTGACAGCTTTACTTGATTCAGTTACTAGCACAAAACATTCTGGTATTTTTGTTAAGACCATGTTGAATACTATCTGTTTTGAACAACATGCAGTGATTAACAGGAACTTAAGCACTAGGGCTGAACTGGATTTTATCAGTACAAGTGAAAAAAATCTAGCCTGCTACAGAAGGCTTATAATGTTATCAATTTCTGACAGCATAGTAATATGACAGCGTGGTTGCTGTCACTGAGGAATATCTTTATCCATCAGTGGAGGACCTCTGGAATTGGTAACCTGATCAGCAGTGCTGTTTGAGAGCACGCCTGGGCCTGCATTTGAATCCAAGCTTTCTCTGTAGGCAAACAGATGCACTGTGAGCCATGCTGAGGTACAGGTGGGCTCTAGGCAATATCTGGATCACAGCAGCGGGGCAGGAGTCTTAGCTTCAGCTCACATTGTCCCACAGACAATTCCTCAGCCTCTAAAAGTGGCAAGTGTTTAGACTGGTGGCAGTCCAATCTGCAAGATCCGTACTGAGGCCATATAATGAGGAACTTATTTAGAAAGTTGAAATATGTCATGTTTTGTCTGTTCCAAGCCCATATTTCTATGCATAGTGTAAGCTTACTTTTACCCAGTGTTGGCTGTGATGGCCACAAGCACCAGGTGAGAGTGTGCCATTTTTGTCAGCTTGTTATTTATCTTTTTCTCAAGTCCCATAACTGTTTTTTTCCTCCCTTAGAAATTACAGTGCTCTCAAATATATTTATTTCCTAATCTATTTTTTCCTCTTTCTCAACAGTTCTTTGCCTTCGTGGTTACCTCCTGCTATGCTGGAAATACGTATTTTAGCTTTATATCCTGGCGATCACGAACTTTGCAGTAAATACTTTGTTAAAGTGAATTCTGTTGTGTAAAGTACCTTGAGGATTATTCACTTTTGATAAAAGCTTGGAAGAGGTATTTTTGAACATTTCTCCTAGAATTGACACTATATAAACTGAGATCCATTGATTATTTATAATAATGCCATCTTTAGAGACATTTTTAACCTGACTTTGTACTATACAATAAAATTTCATACTGCTTCTTTTACAATTAACACAGTATTTTTCTAGACATTGTATAGTTGTTACTACTAGATCTTTAAAAAAATCTTACTCAATGTGCCACATATGTTAATGTAACTTTTTAAATGTTACAGTTATACTTTTGATACTGAAGGCTACCAAAACTAAGATTGATATTGTATCATTATTATGTATGAAAAAGTGACATTGTGCAGAAAAAAAAAACCCCACCTGAAAGTTTAAAAAATAAATAAATAAATGATCCAATTGTACATGTTTTGTAAACCGAGAGCAGAAGCTTGCTTTTTTAAATGTCTTTTTCAGAGTACAGGATATACTACCAAGAATTCTGATGATCCTGTCAGTGTGCATAATATAACAGTTTCTCACATCAGGAGGTTGCTTTTGGAACCTGTTACTGTAGGTCTGAAGCTGAAGAAATGTGGTGCCTGGAACACATTACCTGAACAGGTTTCTCAGATCCAACTGGCTCCAAAGCAGGAGCCTGGACAACGCCCCCTTAGTGCTCAGCCTGCTGAGGGCATCACAAATCTCTGGCTAAAGGTAACAAACACTTCTTGTTTCTCAGCAGACTGTGGCTGTTTGGGCTTTCTTCTCCTCAGATTAGGCCATTACTCTCTCATTAAAATCTGGGCTTCTAAATCCTATTAAATGATACAAAGATTAAATCCACTGAGGAATTGTCAAGACAGCAGTGCAACAAGCAAGGAATTTCCTCCCTCCTTTCCTGTCTACTGGCATCATCTGCAACGTTTTAGTTTAACAAATGAAGTTGGTACTCCTATTTAAATAACTTTGAATCAAGCAGAAGTATGACAGAATATGACTTTCAAAACAGATACCTTTGAAAATTACTTTCAAATACAAATTACCTAAGGATTTTTTTTTCCAGAAATTACATGGTGAGTGAAAGGTTGTGATTATTTTATGATGTTATTTAAAGCTTTCCTCATTAAAACTACTGGTGAACCTTCTATTCTTGGATTAAGAAGAGTTGGATTCCCTTCTAGTCTTCAAAAGTTTATTTGGTTGATAATATATGGTAGCAGAAAAATCTTACTGCTTAAAAAAAACTTCTTTACTTCTCCTTGTAAATAAATGGTGTGTGGTTACTTACATATGTGCTTTGCAGAAGATTTATCAGCAGACAGCTAATTGCCTTCTCAATCACATGCTTTTCTTCTTGATTATCTGTCAGTCATAAGATTTCAGTGTAAGGGAAGCCAAGATATTATTTAAAAACCTATACTTGTCTGCAAATTGCATTTGGCCTACACAACATAGGTCAGGCTGTCTGCTGCTTGCTAAATTTATCCACTTGTGAGAAGGAAGAATGGCTACCAACTCTGCATTTTATCTACACAGATAAAATGTGTCATTAAAATCCCGTGTGCTCTCTTCCATCGCTGGGAATAAAAAGAATCAAAGGCATTGAAATGATCCAAGTGCCAGCTGATAAAGTGTGACTAGAAATATAGCCAGAATTAAAATTTCATCAATGATTTCTCATCAGTCAAAAAGCTTCAGTAGTAATAGAAATTCCTTCTTAATTGATATTTGATGTATCTATTTCAACTCCAAATGATGTGACTATGTTTGCGCAAACATTTCAAGATTTTGTAGTAACTGCAATGGTTTGGTCTAAACTCATAACCCAGACCTCATTTGTGGATAGAGACAGTAAGAGGGAGTAGAGATAAGAGGAATTCTGTTTTGTCCAGTTTACCTAAAACTGTCATGGCAACTGTGTGTTACGTGTCAGAGTCAGCCCTTTAATGTAAGATAAAACCAGATAAGGAGTGATTCTGGCAAAATACCTACACGCTCTCTGAGACTTCAGCACTGATCTTCCAGGGAAGATCTGCAGAATGACTTCCAAAGACAAATCTATGAGTTGAATCCTTAATCCTAAATTTTAAAAAATACATACTAGTCAAAAATTTGCTTTCTATTTGGCCTTGCTTTTTTTTGTGTTTTGTTTTGTTTTTCTTCACAAACCATAACTTACCTGCCTTGCTCTGTCCTTTCACAAAGGTAATTATCTTACTTCCCACTCTCTTTCTCATCTATTTCATTTCTTGCCCAGGTACCAACTGTCTTGTTTTTCAAATGCTCTGAATATCTAGTTAGTTGGAGGAGTCAGCACAAGATGAGCATTCCTTTTGGAATTTGCTCCTCCAATTTCAGGCCTGAAGAAAGGCATAAGTACCCAAAAGATTATCTTCCAATTCACTAGTCTTAAATACTGATTTGGAAACCATGAGTTAATGCATTTGTAGATTCTAATATTAATAAAGAAGATAAGCTAGCTCATATAACAATTAAAACATGGTTTGTATCTGCTGTAGGTTAGTACTCATAAGATTGAAAGAAGCCTTAAAAGAGCAACTGGCAAGTGATTAAGTCATTAGTGAAATTCTTAATACAGATATTTAGAAGAATAAACAAACTGCTAATCAACTTGCAAAATGAAGGTGTTTGACTTATAACTAACTTGTTTCAGACAAACAGTCTCTGAAAAATCTAAGTCACGTACATAAGGGTACTTGATGTCAACTTATGGCCATTAATTTTCATTTATTAAGGAGTTGTCAGTACCTTTTTTCATCCTCGTACACAATGCACCTAACAAGACAAAGTAAATAGCAGGAGAACTGTAATAAAAACTTCAAATGCAGTAGAGTTAGGTTGACTGTGTCGCAGTGCTTCACAGAAGGCGCCTCTATTGCTGGGTAGAAAATATGTCTGTTATTTTACTTGTATTAATTTAAAGTTATTTCTGTTTCACGGGCCTGAACTCAGATCAGCAGGGCCCCAGTCACACACACTTTCAAAAGAAATAAAGAACTAAAGAAGCTGAACCAGCAGGTAAAAACCCTGTAAATAGGAAGTGAAGAAGTTACTGGAACCTTCCTCCACAGGGCTTCCAAAAACCTGTAGCCATGCATGCTTCCGAATGGGAACTGTAAGGAGAAGAGGGGCAAAAACCCCAAAAAAACAAAGGCAGCTGTTTAAAAATGGAACAAATTTTTATTTTTTTTTTTCCTCAGCAGCCAGCATTTTACTCTTGTGGCAGTAGCCAGTGTTGTAGCTTTGATATCTAATGACATGGGATGAAATGTGGTGGGACAGGTAATACCTTTTACTGCAACCACAAGATGTTGTAGCAGAAGTCCAGAACTATGTACTGCTTCATCTAGTGAGGACCACTGCCCACATTGGCAAACCCATTTTGCTCCAAGTAAATTGCTTATGCTGGGGCCTTACGTGTGTTGGGGATCATCTGGGCTTGCATGTCTTCCCCCCTCTTAGAACAATTTTAATTGCTGAAGGAACTTATTAAATACTAAATACGAATAGAATCTGTGTCGCAACTGCAGAACGAAGCAGCAGGAGATGGGGTCACTATTGCAGTAATACAAAAGTGGCATACACCCAGCTCAGAGGCCTGCTGCTACCTCGCTTGTCAGAAAGCAGAACAAGTTATTTTTAAACATGAGGAAATATGAAGCTTCCTTTGCTGCGTTTCATTAGTATTGCTGTATGATTTAATTCAAACACTGGGCCTGAGACATCTGGACAGTCCTCACCGTTTCACCTGTTGCTGCCCATTTAACGCAAATGGGTTTTATCTTTTATGAGATGGAGAATCAGAGGATTGGCGGGGGCGGGTTGGTAAGAGCGGGTGCCGTGTGGGAAGACGCTGTGTGCAGCTGTGCCTCCACGGCAAAGCACCGCAGCACTCTGACGCTCGGCGGGGTTTGTCACCGTTCCCGCCGAGCTGCTCCGGGCGGGCGTCCCGCTCCCAGCCTGGCAAGCTTCCCTTCGGCCTGTATCCATGCAGGGCGGCGCGGCGCGGGGCAGCCTCCCTGCGCGGCTGCCGCTCCCGGCCGTGCCGGACCCCGCTGTCCCGGCCGGGTGCGGCGGCGTCTCCCCCGCGGCAGCGAAACCCCCGCGGCTCCCGCGGCCTCCCCGCCCCGCGGCCGCCGGGCCGGGCGGGGAAGCGCCGCGCTCCGCCCGCCCCGCCCCGCCCCGTCCCATCCCGTCCCGTCCCATCCCGTCCCGTTCCCCGTGCCGGGCCGGGCAGCGGCGAGGGCAGCGCGGTCGCAGCCATGTCGCACGGGGCGCGAGTGATCCGCACCGGGGTCAGCAGCGGGGGGCCCGCGGCCCCGCCGCCCGTCACCGTCGCCTCCTCCTCGGCGGGCTCGGACGCGGAGCTCATGGACGGCGGCTATTTCCGCTCCTGCGCCGGCATGCTGAAGGTGGCCCAAATGGTAAGGGGCGAGCGGGGCGGGGGCCGCTGCCGGGGCTCCTGTGGGCCCTCGCAGCCCGCGGGAATGGCGCTCATCCCTGCCGGACGGCTCCGGGCAGCGCCGTCGGGCAGCGTTGGCCCCTCAGGCTGCTCCCAGCAGGACGAAAAACCCACGTTCCTCTGGCAGTGCGAAGCTTTGCCGTCTGTCGGAAGCTGCCTTTGCCTCTTCTTAAGGCAGCAATGAGCTCTTCTGGCCGGACGGACGTGTACGAGCCCAAAGTAGCAGTGTTAACTTTTGGCCGTGAACGGCGATAGCACCGTGATGCGGTGGCACACGGTGCAGTGCAGCGCCTCGTTCCGCAGTGTGGGTAAGCGCTTAGGAGACAGCGGGGCCAGCTGGCAGTGCCCACAGCGGTCTGGTACAGCTGGGCACCGCAGCTGAGGCTGCAGCGCCTGCTGGTTCCGTGCCCTGCCTGCCAGAGACCTCCAGCAGTGACCCAGTGACACGGGGAGGGATGTGGGGGATGTATGGCTGAAATTCAAAAGCAGTCGATGGTGGAACGCTGCCAGGATTTGAGCTGATGCCTTAAGTCAGTGCATGAAATTCAGCTCCATGCAGATGTGGAGAAGATTAACAGATGGATAAGCTCTTTCTCATTTTTATGGCCCATAGTTATCTGTGGGGTGATTTGCCAGCTTAATTACAGTAGTGGCAGTGATAATACCCAGGAAAGAGCATGAAAGACATCATGTACAGATACCTCCACACGTACGTTTTCGTCCTGCAAGAACTTGTGCATTGACAGTTTTATTCTGGAGTTGTTGCCTTCATCTTTTGTAAGCTCCCAATGCCTTCTTTCCCCATGCCTGTATTTGTCCAGTAATTTTTTTAAGTTGTGTAGATTATCAGCACCCAGATTTCTAAACTGACGTTAGAAGTTAAGATGCATTATGTTCTAAGTTATTGAGTACTAATACCAAATCCTCAGGTTTCTCTCTAAAAGCTACCCAGTTTCTTCCAGTTTGTAATTGGTTGTCAGAAATGACCCTCAGTAGCAGGAGATGAAGTTGGCCATGACTGGCCATGGCTGCCTCTACCTGCTGAGCATCTGCCCTGCACTCATGAGACCTTGGAGCTGTCCCTCCCTGTGAATTCCGTGCAGCAGGAACACAAAGAGTTGTCTGCTGCCTTCTTCTGGCTTGGGATCTTCCCAAACCACTGAGTGGATCTGGGGAATCTTTGCAGGAGACAAGTGAGCATGTGTCTACATTGCAAGTGAACCTGTAGCCCTAAAACAGTAGACTTGTGCTCTGCTGATAAGCTGAAAGTCCATCTGCTTTCACCACTGTGGAAAGAACAGTTCCTTTTATGGACTAGAAATAACTCATCCTCTCTGCCCTCCGTCCTGCCCTGGTGTCTCTCCAGCTCTGAGGAGTGACTCCTAAAGCTTCCACAGCGTGGTTATTGGTGCTGTAATGTCAGTTTCTGGTGTGCGTATTAAGTGCCTGCATTCTTTACATGCTTTACATATTTTCATGTGCTGGATGTTAATCTATCTAATTTTATGTAATGCTTCACATACTTTGCATAATGTCATATTTTATTAATGCCGTTCAATCTAAAATTCATCCAAATTTAAGCAAGTGGCTTTCTGTGGTGATTTTAACCGAAGTTAAAATAATCTAAATTATTTTTCCTTTGCACTCTTTCAGTTTCATGTTCTTATGCTTTTCATCTTGCCTGTAAACATTAGTAGGATTTACCTCAGGTATTCAAGGAACTTTGGGCAAATGAACTTCTTGCAGCATCACATATCACAATAGCACCTTCTCAAATAATTCCATAAGAAAACCAAATGTTTGTGCTGTAGCATGTAGAAATAACCATGATACATTACTTCTAGATATTCTCCTGCACCCAATAAAATAGGGAGAGCTAAATATTTTTGCAATTCTCTTTTATCTCTTCTCAGACAGTATTTATACCCACAGCTCAATTTGTCTGAGCATCCAGTTCTCCTAGTACGAAATGTTGGCAGTAACTTTTTCTGGTGAAGATTTCTTCATGCTTAATCTGTAAACATTCCTGCGCTAGTCTAGGTGTGGCTGGTGGCTGTAGTCTTCCTGAGAAGCAGAACCCTTATGCTGGCAAAGGGAAAAGGTAAGGTCATTTGGGTTAGATATATATCACATTAAATTGTGTGCCGGGCCTCTGAGTGGTTGTGGTTGTGAAAAGGAAACGTTACAAGTTTTGTTTTCTCTTTCTTCTTCAGTCCCCTTTACCAAGAAGTAGAGCATGTGATAGACGGCAGGAAAGAAGCATTTCATCTTTACTGTAGTGTTAAGGGCTGTTTTCTGTGCTTGCCAGCTAAAAAACCCCAACGATTGTATGTATATGTGAGTGACATGAATCTAATAGGTGACGACAACATGCTATGGAAATCATAGAAAGAAAATAGAAGATAATTTACAACTGTTCTGCTGTAAGACACGACTAAAACTCAGGATTATTGAAGAGATTGTACAGCCTGAATTGTTGTTAATTTTGGGTGTTACCAGTGCTTTCCTTTGAAATTCTGGGTGCTGTAGTGTTTAGCATAGAATGAAATTAAGAATAAAAAAGTGCTTATTGCCTATAAGCCTACACAAGTTCCTTTACTTTTTTTGCTAGAATATTTCTTTAACCTTGCAGAATGAATGTAGCTTTGAAAAGACAGTGTATTTTATGCATTGACTTCATGGCCTGGGGAATAGTGTATAAATATGTTGAAAATAAAATGGAGTTTTTATAGTTAATATAAAAATTATATAGTTATATATAATATAGTTATACAGACTTGTGTATTTTGTGTGGCAGTAAGACAATTTGAAAGCTGCTTTTCCATATGTGACTGTTACTAACCTTAGCTGGGGCTCCTTTCAAAATCCAGTCTGAACTGACATTCTGATTTTAACAGGAAATTGCAAAGTATTTCAACATGTAACTTACTGCAGCTTGTTTAACTTGATGTTGTTAATACCACTTTTGCTTTTTCTTTCCTTTCCTTCTCTTTTCTTTTTTTTGGTGTTTGCTGTTTTGCCAAGATCTCTTAGGGCTATGTGCAGGATCCTGCTGTGGCCTCCTTGGTTCTGTAGCAGTAGTGAGTAGCGAGTGTGTGAGTGGGTGTGTATCGGTGTGCACAATACACTTAGACCAGAGAAACTGACTTGAATGACTTGAATTTTTGCCAGCTTGCCAAAATGGACACAGGTGGCACTCTCCAGCATTCTGCATGAGCTGTGCTGGTTTGGTTGAGGCACATTTGCTTTGTGTCCATGCTACTGCTGGCTTGTTTTGTTGTAAGCCTTTTTAGGAGCCTGTGTTGCTTAGCTTGGCAAGTTCTCAGTAGATGGGTTCTTGGGAGTTTTTTGAGGCATCCCATTCGGGTCATTGATATGAATGCGCATTTGTATTGTCACCAGGGTGGCTCGAGTCCAGCGCTGATAGATTGAAACAAGTCTGGTTCCACCCAATTTGTCCTGGAGCCCTCATGTGCTTTTTATATTTTTACAGCTGAAGTCTGGAGGATGCCACTGGCGCTGTACTGGACGAGGTCCTGCTTCCAGCAGAGCCCACGTTAGACGGGGGAGCCTGTGTAGGAGTCCCCTCTCGTAGGCACTGGTGGGAATGATTGTGTCACCTGTGTGAAATGTGTGGTGCAGAGCTTCGCAGGGGTGTGACCATACAGGCTGAAGAGAGAAAAGAGCTGGCAGCTCACATGTAGGAGAGCCATCACAGCACAGCACGTGCTTGTGTAGGTCTTTCAGGCTCCTCAGACTGTTGTCAGACCACTCCTTCCTTGCACCTTGAGAGGTGCAGAGTGACCCATGGCTGCCTTGGTTCTCTTTCACATCCCCCAGGTTGGGCCAAGTTAACTTGGGTCACAGTTCAGACTGAAGGCCATTGTTCCCACAATGACACCACTGTTACTGTTACAGCTCTGCCAGAGTAAGCACAGCCTCAGAACACAGGGTGTTTTAAGCTGAAACCAGTGCTGATTCTGTCAGCTCACTATGAGCTATCAGTTTCACAAGACAGAAAACAAGAAAATAAAAATTACCTTCTCAAGGCTGAAGAAAATATTTACAAGCAATTGTAATGTGAAAAAAGGATAAGCTCAATAAAAGTTGACTTAACAACGTCATTTTAACTTGCTAAAAATGCTAAAGCAATAGTTGAATCTTTTCTGCAGAGTATCTATTTAATTTCCTAGGTATGCCTTGACAAAAGCAATGACATACTTGACAAGTGAATGGCCAACAAGACAGTCTGTAATTCTGAGCAACTTTGAAGTGTGCTGAAACCTCTCTGGGTTATTTGTATACTAACATATAGTTGCATAATAGCATTCAAGGGAATATTAATTCATCTAACACTGAAGGCTAGAGAATGCTGGTAGTTAGGTTGCTGTAGCCAAGTTCCATTTCTGAATGTGTTTCCAAATTTACTGGGGAGCTATATTCAGAAGAATTTAAAGTATGAAAAGGAAGCAAAATCTGTTAGTGCAAGAAAACAATTCCTGATTAAAATCATTGATGCAAGAAAAAGAAATTCACAAAAGGAAGTGCTGCTTGGAATTGAGAGCTACTCAGTCTTTTAGCTTGATTTTGAGACTGAAACATCTTTCTGTCCAAGGAGATGATTGAAGTAAAACATCTAATTCTGTGCAGCAGTGTGTCAGTGACATGATTTTGCCTTTATTCTAATAAAGCTGTTCAGTCAGAAGAGAGGCATTCTGGTGATATGCAGAGGTGCTGACATTGTAAACCTGTCTGTGAGTTCTGTATAGACTGTGCTTTCTGGGGGATTGTGGAAAGTCACCCCAAAAATGTGCAAGATAAACTACTGGCTAAGCAATGAGGCACATTTTCAGAGGCCAAGGTCAGAGCTGTTGTAGCTGCTCATCATTTTTGTTGTTCTGCTGGAAACTGCAGTAAAAGGACCTTGCTGGGCATGCTGAACAAAGAGAAAGAAAAAAATTA